TGTAATTTTAAGTTATAGAATACATTTTATACTTTATTTAAAACTTTAACGCAACGTTTTCTGCGTGTTGACTCTTAGTGCCTTTTGTCACCCATTATTATTAAAAAACAGCTATCACCTGACTTAAACATTTCATTAGTGTAAAAGTTCTGTAGCTTATATGTATAAAATGCTCACACCACAGATTACATAAACGAATAATACAAAGCTTTTTAAGCTACGATTAAATACAGAAAAAAAGATATATGCTAAACTGCAGTTTGGTAATTTATACGTTTAACTAAAATACAAAATGGTAAAAACAGCAAAATTTGCGTCTAGTAGTAAGTGTCAGATTTTGCAAAAAATGACGTTTCAATAAGTTAGATAAGGACAATGCACGTGTTTGAGTAAGATAGAAGATTTAGAGATACAACTGTAATGAGTCTGCTTTATCGACCTCGTGCAAATTTGGCCGAAATTTCATTTGGTAAAACAGGATTTCAGCATCCTCTTAAAATAGGAATGATATTGAATGTGACAAATAGAATATCAATGAAATTAATGAAAAATATTTAATTATTAGACACTAAAAATTATTGCACTATATTATATAATTAAAATTATGTTTAAAACTAAAATATTATTACATTAACAATCAAGGGCAAATGAGCCAAGAGCTGAATATTAGTAGCTAACAATAAATATATATTTCGAAAAGGATTCTAACGTTTTGGTTTACATTAAGCCATCCTTAGGAGATCATTACAATCAAAGGAGTAACCACTCTTGAATTCCGGTGTACAACCCGTCAGAAATCTGTTGAATTCCTTGAAGTCCGATGAATTCCTCGAATTTCGATGAAGTCCGGCAAAGTCCGATGAATTCCAATGAAATTCAGCGTAGTCCGTGAAGTCCGCGTAGTCCATGAAGTCCAATGAAGTCCGGCAAAATCCATTGAAGTCCGATGTATTCCGATGAAATCCGGCGTAGTCCAACGAATTCAGCGTGGTCCGTGAAATCCTGTGTAGTCCGTGAAGTCCGTTGAAATCTTGAAATCCGAAGTCCAGGTGTACACCTATTTTCTTAGTGGTTACCCCCTCAATTACAATTTAATATAAAATCACAAAATTAAAACATATTTACGCAGGTACAGTGGAATCTAATTGCAGAAAGCACGTTAATTCCACATGGTAAAATTATTACCGCGATTAAATTAGTTTTGGGCTCAATTAATTTTGTTTTCAATAACGTGTATTATAAACAGATTTTTGGCACGCCTATGAATTCTCCGGCATCTCCAACAGTAGCTAATTTGGTTCTCCGGGAGATTGAGAATAAAGCAGCTGTGGACGTAGGTGGTGGTGATAGGTAATCACGAGAAGGAGCGCAATGAATCCACAAATGACTCCGGTTATAATTAACAGCTTGGATATATTTTCGGGATATATTTACAAGGGTAGGAAATGTCAGTGTAAGATTCGTAAAGGATTGACTCCCAGGAAAGGTAGAAAGTAAGTCGAGTGGTACCCGAAGATGCCCGCACCGAAAGGTGCGAAGGAGACTAGCGCCGGTGAGGCAGAAGATTCTCCTTTTCCAGTGCGCTAAAGAGGGCCTTCGTTCGGTCTTGTACGAACCGTGGGATTGGCCTCAACGGGATTGAGATCACCGATCTCAATCTGATGCGGTCCGGAAATGCCTGCGCGATCCGCCGAAGAAGGTCCACGAACCGTCCTGGGGACCCGGACGGTCGCAAGCGCCTTGACGGTGTCGTCGGCTTGCAGAATGTTCGGACGGAAGGACCCTTCGGACGTCCGGGTGTCAGCGGCTTCGTCGGGCTGCGTTGCTTCGAACGCCCAGGTGTCAACGGCTTCGTCGGCGTCCTGACCGGCGGACTAGGCGGTGTGATGACCTCCTCGATCTGTGTCCCTCGGCTGACTACTGACCGAGGTCGAGGGTCCGAGGGTCGCTGCGCAGCCGGCCGGGTGACGTCGATGGGCGTCAGACGCCACGGGAGGAAGGCTACTCCCGGGTCAGGTTGGCTCTCAAGAGTCTCGTCGGTCGCTGGGGCTTCCCGCGGTTGCGAGCGGCTGCTCACCTCGAGGGGACAAGGTGGCCTTCTTTTCCTTGCCCGCGGCGTGGTGGCGGAGTTTCTCCTCGTGGAATCGGCGAAAGTGGCCCGGATGGGCAGACTCGGGATGAGATCGCGAGGATACAGAGGCCTGGTGCGTGCCTTGAATCGAGAGGCCGGGATTCCCGCTTCCTCTCGATTGCAAGGGACCGAGCTCGCTCTGTCGCTGGGTACCAAAATGCTCAGAGTGATGGCCTACGTAAGCTCACACCACTCTGAGAGCAGAAGAACGTGCTGGAGACCACCCACGCAGCCATAGATATAGCAGGCGTGGGTGAATTTTAATTACGAGAAAAGTAGTGGCGCCTGCGGCACTTAGCGGAGGCGCCGCGCACTACTCTCGTCACGTGGCGGGCGCGCCGGCCCGGCGCGCGGGCCAGGCGCGCGTGCCGTAAGCGTACCGCCACGCAGCTAAATCATTGCAATTAGAGTCCCTCTAGTCAGAGTCGAGACATAAGCAAGCTCTCTCGCAATTGGTCGGCGCCATGTCCTGACCAACTGATGTGTGAAAAAGGTGAATACGTGTGAATACGTGAAACTAACTTTTCTTAGTGTGAGCCGCCATGTCCAAACCTACTGATGGTTAGTGAATAAGTGAATACGTGAAGGCCCCACACTACGGTCTTATGTTTTGACTTTGACTAGAGGGCCTCTAGTTGCAATTAGTGTTTTACTTTTGTTACATGGATGATATTCTTTTGGCAACTCAATCCAATATGCTGGAAAAACCGTTAGATGTTTTAATTTCTGCCATAAAATTTACAGCTCACTATGGAAGAGAGTGAGAATGAACGTATCAATTTCTTGAAAGTCACTGCCATTGTTTCCATAATAAAATCTATTTTGATTTATTTAAAAAGCCTATTTTCTCTGGCAGATTTATCAATTTTCTTTTGCATCATCTCCTCAGCCATAAAAAAGGTATCATCTTTGGTTTAGTAGACAAAATTCTTCTTCTTTCAAATCCACATTTTTATGAAAAGAATCCCATAGATATCATACAGATTTTACTTAATTGTTATTCGGTGCCTTTCATTTTTAATAATCAGGTCCAGATTAAAATCTCTTTTCAGTAACTAAGAAACAAGACCCATTAACAACAGATATTTTTTAAAAATGTTTATTTTTCTGTATATCGATGGTACATCGGAAAAGTTTCTCAAAATCGCTAATAGTTGTAATATAAGAACAGGCTTTTCAATTCCTAACACGTTAAAAAATTTCCTAAAAACGGGAAAGGACAAGTTAGAATCCTTATCACAAAACAATATTGTGTACGAAATTTCTTGCAAAGATTGCAACGCAACATATGTTGGTCAGACAAAGCGACAGCTCAAAACCAGAGTAAATGAGCATTGCTTATTTGATCAGGAAAAAAAGCGGTACTTTGTCTGTCATATCCAATCACAGATTACAAGAAAATTAAACAATTGATTGGGATACTGTTAAGATCATAGATAAGGAGGATAACTATTATAAAAATTTAACATCCGAAATGATTCATATTATGAAACAAAAACGTGGTCTAAACAAACAAAGTAATGCTGAATCCCTCTAAATTATTCGATAATAAACTCTTTGCTTCCCAACTAATCTAAACTGTCCTTTTCCGCTTCTTATTGTCTTTCTCCTTCTTCTTTTACCCTCCTCCTTGTCCTTTTTTCCTCTTTCCCTATTTACTGATAAGATATCCTCATTATGTCTTTAACTAACTATCTGAACAGACATTTGATGATTATAGATCTTCTTTGTCATAATGACATTACAGGTATTACTTAATAATTAATTTTATAATCTCACATATCTAATTGACTAAAATATCAATCTGTTTAGTCTTATTTTTCTAGCTTTTTTACATCTCTAACGATCTTTTCCTTAATTACATATCCTTTGACCATCTTACAGTTCTATTGCCTTTCTATTGCCTCTCTTTCATTAAATTGTCAGAGAATTGATTTTTCAAGATCTTAATTCTTGACTGGATTCTCACTCTCATCTGGTTGACTGTGACTTGGACATAATGCAACGACGACATGTATGTATCAGAGACAGTATGAAGCGCATTTATACTTCTGTAAATTCTTCCAATGAACTACTTGTGCGATGTATGACGAACATTAAAAAATCTGTGTAAATATGTTTTAATTTTTATATATTAATTGCGATGTGTGACGAATATTAGAAAATTTGCGTAAATATGTTTTAATTTTGTGATTTTATATTGCCAGAGAACATTCTGACGTCTTAAAGACGTCTAAAAGACGCCCTAAAATTTTTAAGACGTTTTTAGACATCTTAAAATTATCAGAAAGACGTCTTTTAGACGTCTTTTAGACGTCTTTTAGACGTCTTTTACACGTCTTATGACCCGGTTTCTGATATTATTGAGACGTCTTATTTTTCGATAGATGATGACGTTTTTAAGACGTCTCTAAGACATCTCAAGGACTCCAGAAAACGGGACATAAGACGTCTAAAAGACGTCTCAATATCATAAAACAGGGCATAAGACGTCTAAAAGACGACTATAAGACTATATTATTTTAACAAAAAAAAATTTTTTTTATTTTATAATTACTACATATTATTATTTGTAGAGTTTAATTTGTTTTGCATGTTTTCTATTATTATTAATTACAATTTATACGCAGGTTTATAATTTTTTGAAAACACATTGAGATATTCGAGATTCGAACCTGAGATCCCTAGAACTTCAGACTTATACGCTAACGCTGAACTAATTCTACTTTGTACAAAGGAGTTATTCTTTCTATTATATAGATGCCAGAATAAAGTATAAAATATCTTGTAAACTACTCTTGATTTTTCAATAATTCTACCAAATAATTTTTATCTGCAGAATAATTAGAAGAATTATGTTAAAAAAAAAAAATAATTTTATTTTATTTAAAAAAATGGATGTGACTTTTATATTTTTTTAGTGCCTTCATTTAGAAAAAAATATTATCAAAATACATTCTCCTCGAAACTATATTTCACTTTCATCTAAAATATTTTTACATGTCTTAAAGACGTAATTAAAAAAGACATTCGCTAGACATCTAAAAAGAGACGTATTTAAGACTTGACTTAAAAAAACGACTTTATGACGTCTTTAAGACATGTCTTAAAACGTATTTAAAACAGACATTCGCTAGATGTTTTAAGAGAGACGTCCATAAGACTTGACTAAAAGACGACTTTATGACGTCTTTAAGTCATGTTTTAAAGACGTCTTTAAAAAAATCATTCGTTAGACGTCTAAAAAGAGACGTCTATAAGACTGGACTGAAAGATGACTTTATGACGTCTTTAAGTCAAGTCTTAAAGACGTCTTTAAAAAAGACATTCGCTAGACATCTAAAAAGAGTTTAGTCCGTAAGACTGGACTAAAAGACGATGTTATGATGTCTTTAAGTCAATGTCTTAAAGACGTCTTTAAAAAAGACATTCGCTAAACGTTTGAAAAGAGACGTTTGTCAAGAAGACGTCTTTGGGACGTCTTTAAGTCAAGTCTTAAAGACGTCTCTTTCCAGACGTCTAACGAACGTCTTTTAGACATACATGTTCTCTGGGAATTAAATTGTAATGATCTATCTCAGTAGATAATTACAATTTATATTTATATCTTCTATATTTATATTTATATCCTCAGATGGCTCTTAATGTAAGCCGAAACGTTTGGATACTTTTCGAAATATATGTTTATTCTTAACTACTAATATACAGCTCTTAACTCATTTTCCCTTGATTATTAATGTGCTAATTTTTAATTTATTGAGCCTATATCGTTACTTTAATTTAATTGTACAGATCATTAACTTTAACTTAATTTATTGTTAGTTTTAAAAAAATATTAACTTAATATTCAACCTTGCACATAAAGTATAGGATCTTATGAATCTTACAAAATATTTGTTTTTTTTTGTTAACTTTATTTTACTTAACTATAGATACATAGTAACATAAATATACAGATGTTTATATATATATATATATCATTGCTCCAAAAAATTAAAGGATCATCTGTTTTATCCTCTAAAAATTGGCAAACTTCAAGATAGAGCAACTTTGTGAAAAATTATCGTAATGAGATTGTTAAAAAAGCATTTTACAGCTTGAAATCTCCACTTTTTAAGTTGATATTTTAGAAAACGATTAATTGACTTTCTTCAAAGTTGCATTGATACAAATGGAGATGTGACAAATCGTAAAATTTTTTCCTAACTTTGCAAAGTTCCATGGCCTGAAATAAAAATTGCACACAAACAAAGTGTACAGTTTTGAAAGAATGAATTTTTCTCTTTAATTTGCTTTTTTGTTGAGTCGTACGATTT